GGGTCCCCCCCCCCCCCCCCCCCCCCCCCCCGAACAAGGAATTCGTGCAGGTGGATCACGGGCGGATAGTCGATTAAAATGTCTCAATTATCAATTGATGGAGTGAAATAAAAAAGGACCAAGGGGCGGGTGCGTGGTGACGGGTCGAGCGAAGTCCTTTCCGTCCGGGCCAATTAGCGCAGATCGGGCATATTCTTCGTCCCGTTCCGATCGTGGAATGAAAGCGATTCATCGATCGACGTTCACGAACTCATCGCCTTTCGCCTTTCACTTTCCACCTTTCTTTCCCATCACGGGAAGAAAAGACTCCGTGGAACTTTGGCGAGGCGGCGCCCCTGCCACCCAAATGCACCAGCCGACGTTGGTTGCAGCTACGAAGGCGCTTGTCCCGAGTTTACGAAAGGACGTCGAAATTGCGACGGGGAGTGTTTCAAAAACGACACAGCTCCTGTCACTTTTGAAGCACTCCCCTCATAATGTTCAAAATGTTCGCATCGCAGATTTCTCTCTGCTGCGTGGTGCAGCGTTGGCTCATTTTTCGGTACGGTTTCTATAATTTTCAACACACGAATCGCATTTGCGAAAAACGTTTTTTGAAGATCAGCGGAAAATATTTCCTCGGAAGATGCGCTTAATTCATCAGAAAGTCCCAGAACTCATAGCAGCCTCGCTAGAAAGGATTTGCCGATGCAAGCGATCCTTACGACTTGTGGAAAGACGCAGGTCCCTGGTGGCATATTGACACGCGAATCACAAACACCTTCGAAATCGGTTGGTGCATAGCCGACCGATCTGGTACATCTCCCTACAAATAAAAAAAACCTGCCAAATTTTGCTTTTGTCTCGGGTGTAAATATGGAAAAAAAAACAGATGGCTTTGCATTATATAGATAAAAGTCCTCAGCTTACACATGGACATATGTGTCTCGCCGTTGAGTGGCAGGAAATTTTATATAAAAGTAGATATTATCTCATGTATTATTGCATGAAATTAATTATTAGGTTATCCAGATCCAGGAAGCAATTAGGTCATTCAATCACGCAAAGAAAAATGGCATGTTTTGTTCTTTCGAGTCCCATATGCAACCTTGGCTATCACAAAAAAAGCCAGAAGGTCCAACGTCTTGAGAATAAAAAAAAAAGTTCATTCATAGAAAAAAAAATTTGCGGTTTGCTTTTCCAGCCACTCTGACACGATAGCGTGAGAAAAACCATATTTTGTCGTCGGAGTCGTTTGAAAAAGTGGGGGACAAACCAGGACTGATGACAGGGAAAAAGAAAATACAGTAGAGTGGGAATGCTACCCTGGAGAAGAGCTTTGAAGGTCATAAGGCTCATCACGAACCCCAAAAAGGATGACTGGAGGCGAGAAGAGGCACATCGCGACTGAAAGACTGGAGAGACTGAGAGTCACCGCAACGACCGCATCCTTTCCTCGAGGGTCTCCCGAACGCTTTTTGGTAGGGTAGTGTCGGGGTCAGGGGGAAGGAGGCAGGGGGGGGGGGGGGGCTGAGGTTAACGATCGAAATTTGGCTCCTGGATGTGTTCGAAGATGTGAGGAGTGGTTGGTTTATCCGGATGGGGGTGGTGATTTCTTCTGTCGGAGATATTTAACGTTTCTCCGGCCGGGGATGCGTGGGCGATTGCTGGACTCATTTCTGGCATCAAACTCTAATTTTCTCTCGTCCTGCATCGATAATAGATTAGGGCCTATTCACACTATTGATTTGACCTCTGCATTAAATACTGCATGCTCGAACGTGCGTCATATAGAATCTTAAGAACTGATAGTGACTGTCGGATCAGCTTCGAAAATAAGAACTGATACGCATCCGTTTCCTTCGAGTCAGCCGGAGAAATATCGTCGATTTTATCAGGATTTCTGCGAAAACGATGAACCCTTTGCAGTCCATTTATTCGGAGACTGTCTGGCTCCTCAGGTCCAATTTATTTTAATGGAAAAATAAGATTTAATTAAATTGATCACTATCCTAGAAAATGGAGCACCGAAGGCGTGACCATGTTTAAAATATTCACATTGCAAAAACCTGCCAGTGGGGTAACAATTTGTGTCTGAAAACATGCCGGTGAAAGAGTTGAAGAAGTGATGAGTGTGAGCAATATCGGACCGAGTCCGACATAGGACCGCAAAGGGGTTAAACTAAGGGGAAACGGGAAATAAAATAGATGCGGAAAGATGAGCTATAATAAAATGAAGGTCACTCCATTAATCCGCCAACACGTGTCTCGGCCATCTGTGAAAACAATCCCATGCGGATTTTCGTGAATTAAGAGCTTGCGCATTGAAAGCAGCTCAAACATGTTCCAGACGTGTTTCATACATGCTTCAAACGTGGCGAATCGCCACGGTTTGGAAGATTTTGGGAACTGGCTTCTTTAAAGCCGGATGTGGGGGATGACCTTGAATCTTTTCCGGATCCTCTTGCGCAGACAAGTCCGGATTCTCTCGTTTACGGAGGAGGAGAAAAAAAAAAAAA